CAGAAACTACTAACCGCTTTGATGTTCGAACAGAATTGATTCAAACATATATATATATTGTACAACAAGTATAATATGCTACAGGTATAATATTGTCATAACTTAGAATTACAACCTAGATAATCACTCCTCTAAAGAATAAATAACTTTAACAACGACAAAACCTGTTTAGGTTTCCCAAACCAATATACACTGAATATGAAGAATTAAAGATTTCTCAGTATTCAAAAAATCAATCACTAACCCAAAGAATTGCTTTTCCTATACACTTTTCTACAGGCTGTGAGCAAGGTGACCAAATTTATGAAGCAGGTAGCTTGATTTATTCTGGGCTGCTTCTTTTTCATTCTGAAAAATCTAACCTTCCCCATTTCCTGCAGTGTATCTTCTCTCTTTTGAAGAAGTGTGATTATCTTCAACTGCTGTATAATTTAACTAATTTTTCTAACAGCTCGTGGTTGTTGCCTGGAATTTCTTTCACCCTTGATCCATTCTTGTATATTTTAAAGGCCGGGATGCAGTTCACATCTTCTGATTTTGCCAAATAGGGGTGGTCTTCGATCTCCACCTGAAAATGTAAATCACTAATGAGTATGAGACAATGTAATTCTTTTGTTTTTTCAATCCACAATACAGGTATTTGTTTTGTAAAACTTTGTTTTGCTCCTACATAAAGATGCTATGCTGTTTTCTGACATGCTTTTCCATGTTAATACCACGCTAACAGTCCTTTAGAGAGAGTTCAGGATTTTCTATTTCAACTTTCCAGTGAACAATACCACAAACTGCAAGGCCTAGAGCATTCAAAATTACCCACCTTAAGAAAATTAACTGACGGAAATCTCTTGCAGGTTTGCTCCAACACCAACAACACTTGTTTGTGGGTTGCCTTGTTGCAAAACAGCACCACAGACATCCCTGTTCAAATTGTTCACATCTGATCAGAATTTGTTATTCGTAATGCCAAATGCAATTGCGTAAAAGACGCAGTCAAATGTGACTTACCTGGTGATGTTACGTAGTGTCTAAACCGATCATTGCTTGAGATGAAAAACAAATTTGAACCAAATTTCAAGTCCTTAATATCTTCTCCGCGCAGCATCTTGAGTTGAAGCTGAGTCTCAAACAGAGCTCTGGCCACCTCCTCATCCCCTGGTTTTTCTCTTATTAGCATTTCTTAGTCTTGAATCGCAGCTTCCCATCGCTCCAACTGTTATATGTCCAAAAAATAATTATTAAATGAAAACAAGTATAATAGTATATGCGACAAGTTAGTATTGAAGTAGAAACTAAATCACCTTGGCATTGCAATCTGCCCTCCTCAACCTCGCCTTGCTATAGCTAGGCTGAAGTATAAGTGCCACGTTGCAATCTTCAATTGCTTTCTCAAATTGACCTAGCTTGGAACGACATGCTGCCCTATTGCATAGCAGAACTGAGTTGTAAGGATCATGCTCTAGTCCTTCATTGTACACAGCGCATGCTTCCGTGAATTTTGATGCCTTGAAGAGTAAGTTACCACTCATTCTGGCTGATGTCACTGCTCTGGCTCTCCTCACCACTGCATTCACCTCAAAGCTAATTGGATCTAGTTTAGCTGCTTTCTCAGATGTTGTTACTGCATCCTCAAACCTGTCGAACCAAAACAACGTAGGGTCATTCACTCGTTACTAGCCAGACTCAATATATTACCTATCATCGTTGAATACAAGCAACTAATAATAGGCAGAAGTAACGATTTTCTCTGATCTTTTGGTGTCTAATATATAAAATTTGGTCAAGTGAGATTGCAACATAAACACGAAGTACCAACTATATACTCATCGTTATCACATAACTTTTATAAAATGAAATAAAAAATGGGAAACCCGATTGTTGGCACTTCTCATTATTTAGCTTGCTTTTGGATGTTTATAGGTCCTCTATTTTTTAAATTGGTGTGTTTTGCTTACATATAATGTAAAATACAGAAACCATGATTGAATAATTAGATAAACGTCATCAAAATAAAGCACTTTCACCAACCTGCCGGCTTCCAAGTAAATTTGAGCAGCTATCATCATGAGGTAAGCACTACGAGCTGGACCGAATATTTTCTTACAACTATCAAGGTCAAATTTTGGCATTTTCTCGAAGGTAGCGTATGCCTCTTGATGTCTTTGGAGCTTCAGCAAGGCTTCAGTTTGTAAACAATAGACCTGGTATGCATAGTCATTTTTCAATCAGCATAAAGCATACCACAGCCTTTTATTCATCAATCAATCACTATAGAACCTTTCATATATAAACAAAGCGGAAAACATTTTATGAAATTGGAAATAAAGTGGAAGAAAACGTGGTTGTACAAAATGTTTAGGCGTTGGAAAGAAACCTCAATAACAAAATGTTTAACCAAGGGAACTAACCTGTGGAGCTGAATCAGCGCCTAAAGATACTGCAGCCTGTGTTTCCTTCAATATAGTTTTCCAGTCTTTGACTTTCCGAGCTTCAGTGCATTTGCTAAGGTGATTTTGAAGATTCTGAGCTTGTAAACTGAGAACTGAATCAACAGATGGGCTTGTTTCATTGCAATTCAGCGCCTTTTCTGCTTCTCCCAGTCTGTAATCAGATTATCAATTCTGTAAGAAAAAGTAATAAATAACAAAACAAACACCACAGCATCTAGAGTCTCCTTTTGTTTACATTAATCCATGGAAAATTGAATGAAGCATATTACCAACACCATCATCATTATTATCGTTGAGTACCTGAAATAAATTGTTGCCAAACGGTTGTGGGCTCTGCCATAAGAAGGCTCCAACCTGATAGCTTCCTCGCACTCAACAATTGCCTGGAGAAACCTTCCCAAACCGATCAAAGCTGCACTCTTATTGCAGTGATACGTTGCCTTATTGGAGTCAAGAGTAATGGCTCTGTCATACAAAACCAAAGCCTCTTCAAATCTTCCTAGCTTGTAGGCTTCATTCCCCATGGACTTCATCACCTCAGGGTCCGCTCTGCCGTTCCTTGGACTCCGAAATTGCTGAAGTTCATCACTGTTCTTCCTCATGATATTCCCCATCACACCTTTGTTGCCGTTACTACTGTAACTAGAGGAACCGGACATGGAGTTCAACTCCTTGCTCTTGGTAACACTTGTTCTGGGACTGTTATTCACAAGCAAATTCCCAGTGATCGGTAACACAAAATCTTTGGCTGGGGATTTGGTGTCGTTGTTCTGATGATGACTAGCACCTGTGCTTATCCTTGCAAGTTCCAGAGAATTACCAGAGTTCTCTTTCTGTTGCTTAGTCTCGTCATTTGGGTCATGGTTTTGTTGAACTGAGGTTCTTGCAGCGTCTGAGGGTCTCCCATTTGGAATGTTTCGGCATGCAGAAGGTGGCCGGTGACTAGAGGTACTCTTTCTGGTAGGATTCTGCTCCCCTTTCAGTGTAATTCCGTTGGAGGTATCTCGTGGAACCTTTGGTTCATGGTTCAGATGGGGTTTGAACTCGTTTTTGGCCTGGTCTCTCTGTTGTGCAGTGTTGCAAGGCTTCATGGGCAGTGAATGAACAGAGGATTTTCTTGTCCTGTAATTGGTTTTGAGGTGGAAAATTCTTCCCACCAAACCGCAGCCAAAATCAAAGTCCACCTTGTCCTTGGCTTTCCCTTCCATGCTTGAAGATGAGTCTGAAATACAGGAAATAGGAGTTTCACAGAGACAAGTGCACGTATGCAAAGAAGCAGAGGGAAATTTGACAAGGTTATGAAAATGAATGAATCAAGTGGAGTCTATGTAAGACGTGTCGTTTGTGGGTGGATATATATAAAGGTCCTAGAAGCCTTCAAGAGTGGCTTCCAAGAAACCTACTTGAGTTCCTTTTCAGGCTTTGGAGACACAATGCCAAGTGTTGTCGATTCAAAACAATAGTAACTCACGCATGAATTTGTATCATCACAATCTTCTTCATGCTATGCTCAATTGCTATAAAAAAATATAAAGCCACAAATCTTAGCTTAGATCTCCCGTTCTTAACAGCATGTGATGCTGCCACAAAAAGAGTCAAATTTAATTTTTAACCATAAAAAGTATACCTCGTGATAAAATTGTGAATTAAACAGAGTCCCGTTAACCGACTTCTTAAAATATGTAGTATAGGAATTAAAAATACAATGTTAAATGTATTGAAAAATAAAATAGTTTTTCACTCTTTCAATTTTAAACCTTTTAAGGACTAAAGATAGTTTTCTATTGCAATGGGGGCAATTCAACACTGAAATTATCATAACCGGTGTAAATTTTTAAAAATGTTACTATCATTAGTAAACTGTGCCAAGTTATTAGAAAAGAATCGTTTGACTTTGGCACAATTTCACTTAATTAGTGTTAACTTTTTATTTTACATTAAGAACAACTAAGACGAGACAGATTGAGTTATTTAATGTAAACTTCATTTGTTTACATTAAGAGCACGCTGTATTTTATTTGACAAATTTTACCATTCCTTCAAATTCTTACCACATGCTTCTTAACAGAATTAAAAAAGAAAAAGAAAACGGAAGTCCAATCAGACGTGCCGAGAGGATGACAGAGCTTAAAAATTTACAGCTCACGGTATTGCATCCGTGGGATTTAATTGTCTATTTTAACACAAACCAGTAACTTTTAATCACAACGTAAGTATAAGAGTGTTATGTCACTAATTTAGAAAATTATTATTGTAATTTGTAGAGTTAATTTGGACTTGCATTATCTGTTAGAATCAATCGGTTAAAATGTACCCTCAATCCATCTCAAGGGCCCACACTAAATTGATTTAATTCAAATTTAAGAGGAAAAACTTTTTTAGATCATAATAATTGAGTCTAATACCGCTATCATTAGGACCAAATGGAAGTAAACATCTTTGACGTTTTATATAAGGATGCATAAAATTATGAAC